ACTCATTTGACGGCCTTTGATGTCGCGTCATGCTCACTAGCATCATCATCCAAATCGTCGTCCCATTCGTCCCTCCTTACACCGCTCTGTTCAGCCACTGAAGTAGCACCAGGCGGCGGCGCATCGTCATCGCTCTCGTCTTCGAACGCGGCTGGATCGGCCAGTGGCTGACTCTCCGGATCCACGTTCCTTCTTTCTTCGGGGCTCGTCCGCTTTGGTGCACCCTCCACTCCTTCATCCGCAGAGACGGAGATGCCCCTCCGACCCCACTTATTCTTCGGTTGCGTGGTATCGTTGCGCTGTCCAGCGGTCTCCTCGTCATAGTCGAAGTCCATGCTCTTCCTGCCCACGAATCGACCCACGATCCATCCACGGCCGAGATCATCCGAATCTACCACACCGCCGTGTCGGAGCTTCACGCGTTGGCGTGTGTAGTATACCCATGCGAAGTCGATCATGAGTGCCGTCTGTATGGAGCCCCAGACCCACGATGTAGGGTCGAGATAGTCGTCTTCCTTGACGCCGCGCATGATCCAGTTGAGAACATATAGGGCGCGGTATGTACCCAGTGTGACTAGGTAGTAGGAGTCGATGACGGTGGGTACGGTGGTTTGACGGAGGAGGAGCAGTTGTGGGATGACGCAGACAGATTCGAGGATTTCGGAAAAGACCCAGAGAATCTATTATGTCAGTATGCAATCGTGCTTGGTAAGTGGTGTGGAGGTCTTACCTTCATGAAGGTGCTATGCCCGAGAACGTGATCCCTAAACATAAGGTACCAGAATGGGGTGATGAGGATGCTGCCTAGCAGACAGTACATGCCAAACTTCCATGCCTTCTCTCGCTCCCTTGTGCGCGCGTATACACTGGTCATCAAGAAGATGATGTATAGCGATGATAGCGTGTAGAATATCTGACCGGTTAGCCGCGGACGCGTATACGTATGCCGGGCCTCTGTACCTTCAGCGAGAAGTTCCACGTATGCCACCCATCTTTGGTAATGGACGAGCTGAAGATATCGAGATATCGCGTGCCGAAGACGAGCGCGTAGAGGACCTGGGTGATGAGGGATACACCTTCATACATCAGCCCATGTCGCAAGCTTCAAGTGGTGATAAAGCCAACTCACCCTCAGCGCTGCTGTTAGAGTGTATCGCCCATATCAGTATCAGCTTCGATGACGTATGCGAGACGTCGCCGAGGATGTGAAAGAGGTTGAACCCCATCTTGGGGATAAATAATGCTATGCGACGGCTACACAGCACTAGGCCAGCCGCCTGTCGCCTACGTGTTGGGGCTCAAAGCGCGCTTCCGGCACTCGGTGCCAACAAGAGGATCGGGGATAAATAGGTGCCGGCGCGAGGATGTGCAGCACCACTTCCAGTAGGATTTGGGGTCGACGATAGGAAAGGATGGGGAGGCGATGGGCGGGCTGGTTGGTGATGCGTAATGTCTTCCCCGGGTTTGACGCAAGCTACCACGCTACATGTAACGTGCTTGGCAATTCCCAAGGGTCCACACTAGCGTGTCACATACGGCCTAGTCGCTCGAGCTAGCCTGGAGAATCGGAACGCGAGGCTGCAAACTCCACATCTGGTTCTGAGATATGTGGTCTAGCTTTGAGGATTTGCAGGAGATTAAAGATTGTTGGCGAGCTTAGACGATGTTGAGAATTGCGTTTGCATGCATGCGTCTTTCTCGATAGGCGGTCGGACTGTGCACCGATCCGGCATAGGCTACCGACTGCTTGGTCGGAACGCTCATCGTGACCTTGTAGCTCAGAAGTTTTGATCTACTAAAGCCCGTTCTCAGCAAGCGTAACTTTTAGATCGACCCGTATATCACTCGAGGGGCAGCATTTGCGAGGCCGGGTGCCAGTGGATCTGCACTAGATGACACCGAGAGGCTCGTTTCGCTTTTGAACCTCAGCGCGCGTGCTTGTGCAAGTCGAAGTATGTCACAAAAGGATTGCTGCATATCGCACAAAGAGTTGAAGTCAAAAGCGGGACCACATTACAAATGTATGGCACGATAATAGTCGGGCGGTGTGAGGCGCAGCGAGCGAGCCAAGCGGACATTGTGGCTCAACTTACGCCCCGTGCTATTCCGAGATGCGAAGTCCACACAGCCTTGCAAACGAGCGTCTATATCGTCCATAGATCCCGTCGCAGTATTTCAGTAAGTCGAATAGTGAACTACAGCGCCGCATAGGTGCCACTCGCAGCCTCATATCGGTGTTTCTTGCGGCGAAGATCATGGACGCCTGGGTCAGGACTCCAAGGCATCCAACGTGGCGCGCGGGACGGATGGCAGCATCCTTAGACCAGGTACGCAATCCTTCACTGTACCTAGGTATACTTCGAGAAGGTCATATGTGTTCCGCATCCGTAACGGTGAAGACGTTGCCGACTCTAGGCGGACATGCAGTGGTTGCGATGTGAGTGGCCAACTTCGTCACTTCGCAATATCTCAGGCAAAAGTGCGGATCCAGCCCCTCAGGCTGCGTGCAACAGTACGATGTACGGCGTAGTTATTGCAAATACCCGCGATGGAACAGATCTACCAAGTGCCGCGACGTGTATGTTTCCATTTTCACTTCGGAACGGTTGTCAACCGGGAAGGCTGAGTGAATCAAGGCAGATTCTGCGCCCATAAAAAAAGCAAGACAGAAACTGCAAGTCGGAGGACGAACGTAAAACAATGGAGTCGCAGCTATATCAAGAGTCAAAAGGCAGTGTACCAAGATCTGGAGCCGCCGCTTGCTGCGGTCGCAAAGTTCAGTGCGTCACCATAGGCACCACCCACGCTCCACTTCACGAAAAGACCATGAAGGACGCTCTTCAACACAAGAAGTGTCGCAGGTATTCTGCCGATACGAAGCCCCCGACGAAACACGGCAAACAAAGTAACGAGTGAGGATCACCGTTGGAAGACAACAAGGAAGCGGGGTCTTCGGGCGCTGGACCGCCGCACAAACGAAGTCTTTTAGCCGTCCAACAACGCACAGCCCAGATTGACTAGTAGCAGATATGTACCATGGCGGTGGGGGGTCACACCCACTGAGCATTGTGCGGAAGGTCGCTGTCGGCGGTATTCCACGGAGCAGACCCGTGGTGTGGGGCGAGAATCGACATGGCAGACGTACACGCTAGCAAGCGACGTGATGTGGATAGCTGTGGTGGCAGTGATCTTCGCTGATATCGTGAGCAAGTGCTGTGTGAGAGGTGCGACGAAGAGGAGGTGAGTTGGAAGGGTGGGAACAAGGACGAAAGGGGCGAATTAGCGGTCATTGCCCAGCCGAAGCGTATATTAGCGGCCAATAGAAATTACCGCAAGCGTGCATTTAAGCGCCGTCGCGTCCTTCGCTTTCAGCTTACGCACCCTATGCGGGGCAATTTACTGGCTTTGAGGCAGCTCGACGGCACAGCTGTCCAGGCGCACCGAATGGGAAGACACGGCTGGCCAAATTTCCTCGTTGCTGCGCGATGGAGTGCACCCCTTGTTGACGGCATCCTATGGCGCCGCCAGCACAGACAGGTTCGTCAATATCACGCTGCATCGAAAAGAGATTAACCCGCTGGGTCGCGATTGTGGGAGGAGTCTCAGACGTCAGGGCCGACGTCAGGGTGGCCGCCTTACTGAAGGTTACATTTGACTTCCACCCTCAAAAAACCATAGGTATGCGCACTAGCCACGGTGCCGTGTAGCGGGCACACCCTGGCCGGCCAGGCGTGTAGCGGAATCCGATAGCAAGGCTGCCGCGACGCCCACACGGTCATGATCACCGTTGTTGCAGGACACCACCTAGAAAACCCAGCGCAGCGTTCCGGGCCAGCAAATGGGCCGGACACAACCGTCGAGCAACGCTGCATGGCTGGCCAATTCGCGGCTCAAGCGCAAGGCATGGCATGCTGGGGTCAGGGCCGCCAAACCACGTAGAGACAAGAGAAGAGCAGGGTGAAAGCTCGGGGCGCTAACGTGCAGGCCTGACCGTCAGTGCGCAGCAGCATCCTTCAAAGCCTACTGGGGGTGGCACGTTAGAGTCGACGCACTAGAAGTGACCTGCACTCGAGGCCGCTATACCGCTACCATCTTGATAAATATGACTGAGGCGTTCCCCTAGCCTAGTCGTCCAGCTCGAGCCTGAATATCATCACCGTGCGCCGCATCCTCTTCTTGCTACCGCCCGTCTCCAGTCTGCTACATTAGCGACCAGCAGTAAGGCGCAGCACATAAGCTTCTTCAAATCCTACCCGCAGCCGCAGTTGTCATGTCTATCATACTTGAAGGTGCTGTCCTCCCTCCGCATCATCTCCAAGACAAGTCAGCCTCGTCCTGGCCAAGTCCCTACCACCCTCAGTACTACCCCGCGTTGGCCTCCTCGCCTGGCACTATGTCTCCACAGTCCTTCCATTCATACAATCCACGCTTGCCAGAAAGCCCTCTGCCTTCTCAAGAGCTCAACTGTCAGCCGACTACTGGGTGGTATGCCCCCTCAATTTCGGCCCCAGAGTGCCATAGCGAGGTTTGTACTTCACCCTTGTTGCGAGATCGGCTGCTCATATGCCGTCGTCTAGACCACATACGCCTCATATGGCTATATACCTCCACACGCGGCGCAGGTCAACTTGTCACCGCCTGCGTCTGCATCCTACTACTCAGCAACAGCTCCAGTGTCCACTACGCATTCAACAACAGCCATCTCTCCAGGTACCGTCTACTCTCGGGAATCCGTGGTACCAGAGTCAACACGGCCATCTGAAGAGCCCCAACCCGACGCAAGGACTGTCTTGCATCAGCCTACTTCTCGCTACAGGAGACAGTCTCACTTCATGGACCGGACTCACAGCGGTTCAGAATCGTTGCATTCGGCCGCAGTGGACGGCTCCTGGACGATGAACGCACTAGGAATTCATGCGAACCACGAAGCCTATTATCCAGCATTCCCAACCCATAGTCCCCGCGTGAGTGAGCCATCAACAGAGCTATCGTCAAGCCACATGCCCTCGCCACAACCCCGACGCATGTACACACCGATCGCTCCTCTACCCCTGGAGACGCCCCGTTCGCACGGAACCAAGCGACAGAGGGAAGACGACGAAGAAGAAGAGCCCAAGCGAAGGAAGCGATCCGACTCACAGATATCGTCCCAGTTTGAGCTCAGTGAGGAAGACCGTCTGCTTCTTCGGCTCAAAGAGGAAGAGCACATGCCTTGGAAGGACATCGCAGCACGCTTTGTCAAAGACTTCGGCAGGCAGTACCAAATACCCGCACTTCAGATGCGTATCAAGCGACTAAAAGAACGGATGCGTCAGTGGACTGAAGTAGACGTCCAAGCACTGCGCAAAGCCCATGACTACTGGGTGCAAAACAAGTTCGATATTATCGCGCAAAAGGTATGCATCACCACCATCGATCCCAAGTACAGCCACTGACTGCTATAGATGCTCGATTACGGCGCAGAAGAAAAATGGACCGCACGCCAATGCTCTCGCAAATGGCAAGAGATCGATCCAACGCCAATACCCTACACGCAGTTCGATCACCACGTCCAGCACGTCCAGCAAGGCTTTGCACCCTACGCGATGAGCCCCATCGAGCCCACGCCCATGAACTTCCCTCCCTTCCTGCACCAGCACCATACCACCTAGTCAACCTCGCCAGTGTCAGCCTCGCTTATTACGGCAGGAGGATGCGGGTAAACCACGCCGCATCGCTCTTCCTTTCTGATTCTTCCACTCCTAGGGATTGTCCCATCGGGGCAACATGTCTAAGTCTAAACGCTTCCCGCGATGCGGCACAGAGTCACAGACACACCGGCGTTTAGCAAAGCGAGAGAAAAAAAACGGGCGGCTTGCATGGCTTGGGTCAGGGAGTTCTATGGGGCACAGCAAGCAGCAACCAGCGCGCAACGCTTCTTAACGTTCGCCTTTTATGTCATTTATCTTCTTCTTTCGCTCGATACCCTTGCTTAACTAACTACATTTGTTGAGTTATCTTATTTCAAATACATATAACGATCATCTTCATCTCCTTTCCTGTTGTTGAGTCGCAGCTAGATCTCACAGGCCATCTGCGCGGCCCCCTTCTTCTGCTTCCACATGTGCAACACGCGCACATCACATATCCCTGCTGCGCGTCTTTTCGGTTGTTGCAAGCTTCAAAGACAGCGCGTCTGCATCTACACGTGGAATGAGACAAAACGAGATCGCGTATCTCGCTCCCAAAACCGTTAAACCCTTCTTCATTTTCCCTTTCTGTCGCTCGCGCATGCGCTTTTCGCACCGCCCTAACTAACCTTATGCCGCCTTGTGGGGCCCTCGTTTTTGTTCTGGTCCCTCGCTCCTTCTTCAACGGGGCACCCATCTCCGTTACCACACACCCACCTGTGCCGAACTGCGCCGCAATACAGTACAGTCGTGCCGCAATCACGATTGTATCGATTTTTGGCGCACTGGTTTCAGATGTCTTAATAGGAAGCGCTGTGACAGGTTCGCTTATGACTTGACAAGGCTCTATTTATTTTTTTTCGCGGCTGCTCATGTGGTTAGTGGACACGAGACAACCGTTTTTTGCGGCAGAGGTTTGGGGCTTGGGCTTTCACCCGCGCGGCTCGCGTGTCTTGAGGGCGGCACGGTGGTGGTGGTGCCGTACCTTCGCGCAGACGGTTTGGAGATGGGTGCGGCGCCGCAATCGGGCCTTTCGTGTCTTGGTGCCCTGCCCGCTATGGAGAAGCGATGGACACTGTTACATTCGTCGTTCCTTCGTGTGAATCCTGTCAAAGGGCACGGGGACATGACGTGCTCTCGCGATGAATGCCAATGCGCGCGTAGTCTGCCTTGATGATGCAGGTCACGCATTCGGGTCTGTTACGTATAGCACTGCGCATTCTGTTCTGTCGCCTGGGTAAGATGCATCATCGCTGTGGCTGCGCTATTTGCTTAGCTATGACGGTACGCATGGGTCGTCTGCCTCCTACCTCCGACTTTTCCGAGTATATCGGTGCTTGTGTAAGAAATGTTAGTAGTAAGAAGGCGTGATCGACGCCAGCATCCCTCGTATACCTCCATTCCAAGCTCGTGACTGGTCAGCATAGTCAGCCCTATGTGTAAGCTACGTGGTACAGTCCCTTCTCCACGCGAGCACGTAACAACTTATCTACATGCCACTGTTGTAGTATGCATGGGCTCATAGCGCGAGTATGCTAGGGGGTCTCAGCTACGCACACCGTACCTATCCTCGTCATCATCCCCTGCGTCTGCCACTATCTTACTGAGGTAGTTTCACATTCTTAGTGATGTCTGGTCGAGACCATTCTTCGGCAGATGCACCAAGCACTGACAGACTGATTTAGCCAGTGCGATTGGAAGGCACGGGTGCCATGCGGTCTCCTGGGGCGTAGACCAAGGAGATCAGCAAGATGAACGGTCCTTACATAACGCTGTGCCGACTTGCGTATGTGGGTAGATTCTGATATTGACATCGAGCACTGAGCTCATGCTGATGTTGCGGAGAACAGGAGCTCGGCCGTATCAACTCCCGGCTGATGGACTACCACAGGCGTATAGAGGATGATAGTATCACATCTCCACACGATGTGGGGATCTGAGCAGGAACACCGGCTCCTACGTGCCGTGACATTGTATCTGTCAAACAAGGGCCCCGCAATCCTGAGTTCCCCTTAAGCTGTCAGTCGCTCTTCAAACGGCACGGGTGGCGCCGGTATGCACGACAAGAGCTCTCGTCACACTGTCTATATCCTTCAATGCTGCGACATCCTTTGCGCCGAGTGCTCTCCTATACGCACTGTAGATGTAACAGGTGGACGACGTCTACGTACTGAGTGTAAGCACTGCTGTCAGAAGCTCGAGCTCCATGCATGATGCCACCGAGACCTTCGCGGCAGTTTCAATCGACGCATCGACAATGGCTTCGAATACGGTCTGACGTGTACCACACATCTACCAGATCCAGCACGAGCACGGGTAGAAGTAGAATCAGGACGATGCTGATGGACCGCGCGGTGTAATATCATGCATCTTGTAGCTATGACTGGTCAGCGCGTTTCGAAATCCGGTGGATGGCGACGAACGATTTGCTTGGTGATCGCCCGTGGCTTGCTCGGAAGGAGGGAGCTTTCACGTCACAAGCCCTAGTCAGCTTACATCCGCTCGCCAAGGCAGTCGCGGACCGCGATGAAGACCGGTTCGTTGCGCATGTACGCAGCTTACTTCTCGTCGACGTCGCCAGCGGCCCGAACGGCCCTACGCTCGAGTTGAAAAACGGCTGGTAGCGGCCTTTCGCGTAAAACTTCCAATGGGAGTGGTGGTAAGAGTCAGGATTTAGTTGATAGACTTCTTCTAGAAGGCTTAATAGGCTGCTTATCATCTTAGACTAAGCCTCCGAGAACGCGCTGTGGCCAGTGGTAAGCTTCGTCGTCCGCGTGTGCTGTATACCCCCACGTTCCTGCGTCGTCGCGCATCACGCAGCGATCGGAACCTACCGCCATTCTACTTGGCTAGTCGTCGACCGCTGACGGCAGGACAGTGTTCCACGTTCTCCTTCCGAGCTTGAGTGCCAATAGCGGCGAGACTCAGACGCAGGATGCGGACTAGTACACTCGGGGTAGGTGACATTGTTCGAATCTTCGGGATCTCCTCCGCATTGCCGAGCACGCGATAAGACAACGACCAGAGTCAGTGAGAAACGATCCCTGTAGCTAAAGATGACGCATTGAGCAACGGTTGAGGCTTGCGTCGAGGGGTTGAAACAGATCAGGAAACGGTTTGACTGGGTCGTGAGGTAGACGGAAGGGCAAGCAATGTGATAATGACAGAGGAGCTGCAGTTGACGACTCGACCGGGTTAGTGTTTCATGATCTACGCCCCACATTAGCAAAGGAGTGGAAGCGAAGTGTTTCCCGTCTCTGCGACCCAGACGATAGAGTCAGTCGATAATGGCAAATATTGTTGAACTGCACATGTTTTAGCCGCATCGCATGGGTTTCTAGAGGTGGCACAGAAGCGGCCAGATGCTAGGCCCTATGAAGTCACCCTGCACGTGCGTGTCGTGTCAGCGTGCATCCCTTCACGGCTCACCGGTGGTACTACAGGCTGCCGAACCACTCGTTCACGAGCTCATGGTCGGACAAGCTTCAAGGCTACGGCAAAGATCGATCTCTATTCCGATAATGCGATCGGCATCCATCGAAAATCAGTCGTACAAAACTCTTCGGCTAATGTTGGAAAGCTGTCGTGCTACACTCCGTGGAGTTGAGAAACGTAAACCGACTCCTGAGACGCTGCCGGGGTGCCGAACCAAGGGCCAGTCCATCGGTGTGTCGGAGGAACGAGTTAGGCCTGCAACCTGCTATCCTCTTGCAGAAAGCACATACTCTTTACGCGACCCAGAGGTCCAAAAAGGAGGGGGGTCGGGACGTTTCAGGTCCGTGGGCTCGCATGCGCAACGTGGTATTGTAATTATCCATAGTGTCAGGCGCCTATTCGCGTGCGTTCGCCCCACCAGCTTTCGCCAGTCTGCAGCGTCTTCTCCAGATCTTCTTCGGCCCTTCTAGCGCTGACAAAGGGCCCGTCATCTCGGATCCCGTGCAGCTGAGGCCCGCGAAGCCGCCTGGGGTTCGCATGAGAGCTGGGAGCTCGATGCCTGTCTTGCTTCGCATATATGTGTTGAGCGTAAGAGGCGTCAATAACGGCGGTGATCCCTGGGTAAATAGTTGCAGAGTGACAGGAAAGAGCGGCAATTTGCCTAATTATGTGATGCTGCATCTGGTCGATTTGCTGCGTCATATGTCCTTAAGTGGTGGCTGCGAATTGATATTAATATTGCCGTTTTGGGACGAATCGCGTGGTAAGAGGCGCATGCGCCGTTGACATTAATTTGGTAGTAAAGAGACCCAAACAGAAGCGGTCATGATGAAGTATCTCGAAAGTCCGATGGAGTGACGATGAAGAAGTTTTGTTTCGCTACTCGGTGTAGCTAGGTAGGTGATCTTGCTACTGACGCGTCTTTGGTCTTCGGCCTTGGCGCTCTATGTCCGCTATTTCCAGGTTCGCCGGAGTATACTCCTACAGGTACCATCCCGTCTTTGAGGCAACAGCTGCTCAGGATAGATAACTATTTACATCCATTCCATTGCAAAGATACTATGCGCACTGTTGCCCTCACAAGACTGTCAAATCTACGTTCTCAATTGCCGCTTCCAAGATCACCACGGTCCTTCCATACGTCATCAGCAATCATGGCAGGGCTCACCATCAACTCGCAACAGACCATGCTGTCAGGCTACAAGATCCCCGTCCTCGGATATGGCGTATACCAAACACCAGCAGACATCGCTTCCGAGGTGGTTGAGCACGCGCTCAAAGTCGGCTATCGCCACGTTGATTCTGCCGTCGCCTACCGGAACGAGCAACCATCTGCGGAAGGCATGAAGAAGTCGGGCATTCCAAGAGAAGAGCTATTCTTCACGACAAAGATCCCTCCGAAAGACATGAGCTACGAGAACTCGACACAGCACATTGAAAACACCCTCAAGATCACCGGATTCGATTACGTCGATCTCTACCTCCTGCACAGTCCCTACGGTGGTAAAGAGAACCGCATCGGTGCGTGGAAAGCGCTCGTTGAGGGTGTACAGGCAGGCAAGATTCGCTCAATTGGCGTTTCCAACTACGGCGTGCATCATCTAGATGAACTCGAAGCGTGGATCAAAGAGACGGAGGCGAAAGAGGGGAAGGGGAAGGGTGGAGTAATCAGCATCAATCAGGTAGAGCTTCACCCGTGGCTCGCGCGTCCAGACATCGTAGACTGGTGCAAGCAGCGAGGTGTGTTATGCGAAGCATACAGTCCAATCGTGCGCGCAACGAAGAACGACGATCCGCTGCTCAAGCCACTCGCGAAGAAGTACAACAAGACGCCTTCGCAAATACTGCTGAGATGGAGTATACAGATGGTGAGCATAACTACGATAATTTATTGTGAGAGAGCAAGAAACTGACATTGCTATTACAGGGATTCATACCGCTCCCCAAATCCGTGACCAAATCTCGCATCGAGGAGAACGCCCAAATCTACGACTTCGAGCTCACAGCCGAAGAGATGGAGAGTTTGGATACTGGAGTGTATGAGCCCTGCGCATGGGATCCCACCGTCAGTCACGACTAAAGTCGTGAACATATGCATTTAACTACCGAGAAGCCAACGTAGATTCAAGGTTCAGAGCTCATGTCGTTCCACATCGGAAATCCGTGTCCATAATTTCCAGGGCTTCTACCCGTGGAGTGAGCACGAACATCGGGTAGTGTGGCCACTGATCATCCACCACACACCAGTCTTCCTTATCAACATCTGCTTTCGCTTCACATTTTACATGCGCTCTTGGGGTTTCCCACAGCCAATCCCGTGTCCAGTCACCAATCCAAAAAGTTGCTCTTTCCAGCTCTTGCCCTTGCTTCTTGTCTCGCATGTAATTGAAGATATTCCGCGCATCTTTTTTGTTGAGAAATAGGTATCTGCCGCCTTCAGCCTCTGCGTGCTGTTCTCCGAGGGCGCGGAGCTCTTTGTAACTCCACTCCCGTGGCCCGAGTATGTCTATCCAAAAGTCTCCTTCTCGTAGCGTGGGTATGGTAACGATCTTTCCCAGCGTTTCCAAGGGTGAGCTGCTAGCGTTATGGAAGATATTTATGCTTAGATGCCTGACTTTCTTTGCGATCTTTCTTATGATCTGGATCTCGTCGTCGAGATCGCCGTCATACCTCCATGGATAATGCTCAGTATCCCAGCGCATCTCAAGACTCTCCAAAGATCCGCCCTGCTGGTTCAAAATATCTTCGAAGAGGACGGTGTCGCGCTCGCCGTTGACAAGAGACAGGTGCGTCAGCGTGTTCTTTGGCAAGTTGAGGATGAGTTCGCTGTCTGTCGTGTTCAGCGAGCGCAACGCTCGCGACTGCGAGAGAACCTTCCGCACGCTTTCCGGGACGGTGTCTACAGAAAGCTCCTCGATACGCGTCCAGTTCATTGCGTCAAGCCACAGCTCCGCGTTGGTCTTTTCGCACTGCTCTTTCGATTGAGTGCGCCATCCAAGCCAGCTTATCCAATGGCCTTTGTAAACCCAATACAATGTGTCCATGAAACATTCCAGCTTGCCTGGCGCTAAACACTTCGGCCCTTTCCAAATTTCGTGATGCTGCCATGTCTCCCACTGATAGCCTTCAACCTTCAAAGATTTGATATCGGGATACTTTTCACCGCCGAAAGGGCTGAGCGGTAGGTTCATCCGGTCGGGCCATGTACTGCAGGACCCGTAGACACCGATGTCGAGGATGGATATGTTAGGGCAGGTAAGGAGGGCTGAGTGGACGGAGTCCCAGGTTGTGAAGGGTGTGACGTCGTATGGGTAGCGGTCGTCGAGGGACCGGGAAGGGTCAGCCTCAATTCTTGCCTCGATGGAAGTGGGACAGGGGTCTTTTGAATCCCACAGCGCTAGCGCAGTCGATAAGATGGAAAAAAGAAAGAACATGTGAGTGTAGAGGCGCATAGTAGCTGGTGTGCAGGATGGTGAGTGGCAATGTCAGTAGCGTTGAGTATCGATGCATCATTTAGCTGGAGTCCACCTGATATAACATCTGTTTTGCTACATGATGATTTAGCCTGTGCGTGATGTTGTGATGTTGTCTTCTTGGTGTTTCTACTGTTGCCTGAACGCGACGGCCTCAATAAGGCTCTTGCACGACTTTCAGGCGTCCAGGACTGCGATTCTTGTGCTGTGGACACATGTGTGATGCTGCTGAATTCTCGTGGCACGGACCTTAGGGCCCAGTGTGCTTTTTGACATATCCAGGACACCTTTACAGGCGTTTTTTTAAGCAGCCTGACCATATGTATATCGTTTTCTTGCAGTTGCGTACGTTCGTAGTGAATGCTTGGAGGAGTTGAGGAATTGAGATGAATGGCATAAGCGAGTCATCTCGCGATGCGGGACGAGTCATGCAACGAACCGCCTTCACACGCGACGCGGCGTGTCTTCTTCGCGTACAAGGTCGCCCATCAGGACGATGACGCAAGATTGTGCCGAGGTTATCCGAGACAGAGCATCGAAGTTTAAGCAACATGTCGACTACCTAAGTGGAGAGTTGGGTGGGTGTGACGTTTCTGAAGGACAGAAGGCGCCTACGTCATACTGACCTTGCAGCGAAAACCATAAACATATACACCAACCCCTCGTATCGCCCTTTCCCGTCTCTCATACAACACAGCTTGATACCCATTTGACTTCTCAAATTTCTAAAAACTAAACGACTAGTTCCCATCAACCTACACATACAAATCCAAATCAACCATCATGGCGGCAAACAAGAAAGTCCTCATCGTGCTCTCCGATGCGTCCTCCTTCCCCTTATACAACACCGGAAGTGATGGAAAGACCGTATCTCAAGACTCAGGCTACTTCCTCATGGAGCTAGCGAAGCCTCTACAAAAGATCCTCGACGCCGGCTACGAAGTCACATTCGCATCACCAGAGGGCAAGGAGCCAACTCCAGACCCCCTCAGCGTATCTCTCGCAGCCTTTGCCGGAAACTACTATGAGAAGCAAAGAGAGCTCGAATTAATCGAGCGCATGAAGAAAGAGAACGGCTTCTCGCGACCAAAGAAGTTCTCCGAGATCAGCGACGACGAACTGAAGAACTACGGCGGTGTCTTCATTCCCGGTGGTCATGCTCCTCTGTCCGACTTGGGCGATAACGCGGATCTCGGTCGCATACTCACACATTTCCACACCTCGTCGAAGCCAACAGCTGCTATCTGCCACGGACCTTGGGCTTTCCTAAGTACCAAGTACGGCCCCAGCAAGAAGTTTGAGTACGCTGGCTACAAGATGACGAGCTGGTCGGATGCTGAAGAGAAGTTGATGGAGACGATCTTCCGCGGCGAGATCGACAAGGTTGAGGGTACGCTCAGGGAAGAGGGTGCGGATATGCAGGAGGGTGTTGCGAAGTCTATGGGAAGTATTACTGTGGACAGGGAGCTTGTTACTGGTGATAACCCGATGGCGGCGAATGCGCTGGGTGACAAGTTCTTGGAGATGATGGCTGCAAAGTAAACGAGAGCTGGTGAAGCCAGCGACGATACCATGTTGTATATGATTAGATGAACTATAAATTCATACCCAATGACCACGTCGCCTCTTCCCAAGCCCAGTGTTGGGTCTCATGCCGAACTCTTCCTTCCTATACCTAACCCTCATTCTCTCTTCCACATCGCCCTCAAAACCTCCCAAGCACTTCTGCGCCCTCCTCATCTTTCTCTCCACCAACCTCCTCAAACCTAACGCCGTCGGTCTTCTTGCGGGTATACTTTGATTACACAGTTCAAATATCCGGATCAAATCCCTCGTATAGTTCGGCTCATTCATCGTAGGCGCCAGCACGGGAATAGTATGCTTGGAAAAGCGACTTTGAGATGGATCTGAATGGATAGTATTAGTGATAGCCCCATGCCAAAGGCCTTGAGCCTTGTGGGGACCGAGAAAACTGTGCATCATCTCCCAGAGTACGGTGCCCAGAGACCAGATGTCTGTTTTGCAGGAGAGTGGTTGCCGTTGGAAGTAGCCGAAGCCTTGGGAGTCGGGGTCTAGAGTGTGCAGCTCGATATTGTTCTCGGGTGCAGCGTAGCCTCGGGTAAACAAGTGGTACTTCTTGGTATACTCCTCATATCCGAAGAGCTCGAGCATATCATCGAGGTCTGCTAGCACAGGCCGCGGGAAAGAAGCGAAGGGTTCCTGAGGCTCCATAAGGAAGACGTTGCTGGGCTTGATGTCGCGATGCACTTTTGGTATCCACCCAAAGGCTTCTGCTGCATCGTCCATACCCGGCGTGTACGTCAATCCGGTCGTCAGGTTGTAGATTGCTTCTGAGATTGTGATGAGAGTGATCCAAAACATGGGTTCAGGAATCTGGTCGTCGGTATCCTGCTGCCATTTTTCCGCACTGTATCCTTCGATGATGTTGGATAGTGTGCCTGCAGAGCAATAGTCCATATATCTTTTCACCTCGTACCTGTGTTTGAAAGCGGGACCGAGATGCTCGCCATGGTCACGGCACGACCAGAACCTGTGTTTTAGTATTGCGCCGGAATCAGGAAGGGTGTCGATGATCCGACAAACTGCCTGTCGCTCGTTGAAGATAGCTCTGTCATCTGTCGTGACCTTTTTGATCACAAAGCGCTAGATCGATGTTAGCACATATCGGCGACGGAAGAATGAATTTCGTGACTCACGTCGCGTACGGTGTTGGTCTCATCTAGCGCGATGTACAAACGTGTAATTACGTGTTTGTTTTTATCGATTTCGTCAGAAAGGGTCTGTAAGAACTGATACCGGAGATCTAAAGCCATGTTCACTATTCTACATTGAACTTTCTGCTGATGTTAGGGATCGTCGTAGCAGTTTGCTATGGTCGACTGCTCCGATGTTGAAGACATCCTGCGGAAAGTGCTCTTAGATCGGTGTACATCTGATTTCTCGTATAAAGGAAATAAACGGAGTCAAACAAAGGCATCTTTTACATGCTGCGTCGTCGTGGTTTGCCAAAGCTCTTTGTCCTGGACAGCAGTAGAAAGAGCGATGTATGACGTCATCAGGCATGACGGTAGGATCTCATTGGTGTGAGAAGAGCATCGCGTCTCTAGTCTCCGCGTGTGTGCGCACGGCGTCAGTAGTTCTCTCCGCTATATCGGGCGCCATTGCTGATGAATAGAAAATCGTGATGCTTCGCGACCTTGTCGGAAGCACCTAAGCGAAGCGCGTCGCCCCCGGTCCACGCGCCGAGCATCTCCATCCACTTTTCGCGTCAAGCATCGTTCGGTGATAACAGCAGCTTCGCAGCACCGAGGCAGAGGCAGATAGTCCAAGATAACACGACTGCAATTAGCTCTCACCGACCCCGCATCCAAACGATAGCTAACACCGATCATCCTCAACATTCCAATCATCGCCAGTGCCGTGATTGCGGCATCCGTTAGACGCCTTCCCCAAGCGCAATGGTGACTGCCACTATGGGCAGGGCGCAGTGTCTGACAGCGGCAATGGAGCCTCTGATAGCACGAACGCTATTGTATTTGACAATGCTCGGCGCGGCCTCGGCGCATTAGCAGCAGCTCCAAAAAGCATGGTTATAGCATGACGCAGGGCCATCCGGTAACCCATCATCGAGTCCTCGTTGTAAGATTGGAATAGACTCATCCTCATCGTTGAACCGCGATTTGGCTACGACACCATGGCTACGCCTGGTTACAGACTCGGCGTTGATGTTGGAGGGTAAGTAATGATCGCCTCAATTTTGCCTCATGGACCGGTGGGAGGCCTGGACGCCCACCCGCTAGCTTCTCCCTGGCTTCGGCGGCGAACATGCAGAACTTCCCCGAATCCACAGCTGCCAACACCTCGCGGCTTGTCTGAACACGGCCCACGTCAAGCAGCGCGGCTAACACGATCCTAGAACCTTCACCGACGGTACGGCCCTTTTCCACAAAGTATGCTCATCTCTTAATCGAGTCTAGTCTGCGTCATCACCCCGAACGGCGAAGCGGTACGCACAAAAGTGCCGACCAACACGACAGATCAGTCTATTGGTGTGCAAGATGGAGTGCAACAGGCACGCAAAATCCTGAAAGAGAAGTACAACTGGGACGGCAGGTTTGAGTACATACACCATGGCACAACCACAGGTACCAATGCGGTGCTTGAAGGCAAAGGCGCCAAATGCGGTCTCATCGTTACCAAGGGTCACAAGGACATCCTGTCCACACGGCGAAGCCAGATACCAGGTGGCTTAGGCTCATGGATGCATTACGAACAGCCCGACCCTCTCGTGCCTCTCGAGAGGACTGTAGAAGTCAAAGAGCGTATCAAGATTGACGGTGAAGTCTTCTACGAGCTGGACGAGGATGAATTACGAAAGGACTTGCAGGATCTGAAGAGACAAAAACCGCAAGCAATTGCCGTATCGCTGATCAATTCCTTCGCCAATAGCGCGCATGAAGAACGCATCAGGGCCATATTGAGCAGCGAGTTTGGGCCAGATGTCGAAATTGTCACTTCTACAGATGTCCTGCCGGAGATCCAAGAGTACGAGCGTACCGTTACGACAGCCGCCAACGCCATCGTCAAGCCGGTGGTAAAGAGTTATATGCAGAACCTACAAAAGAAGCTCGAGAAAGACACAGACACGATCCGCATCTTGAAATCCGATGGCGACCTGACTTCAACCCAACTTGCTGGCGAGACACCGGTGCGCATCCTCATGAGTGGGCCAGCAGGTGGCGTCAAGGCTGTTTCTCATCTCGTCGCGAAGAACACGCCCTACAAGAACCTCATCACATTCGACATGGGCGGAACTTCCACGGACTGCGCTCTACTTCCGGGAAGCGATGCCATCATCCGACGAGAGACCGCGATTGGTCACCTATCAGTACGAGCACCCAGCGTGGATGTTAATACTGTAGGAGCCGGCGGTGGCTCTATCGCGATATTCAATGATTTCACGAAGACTCTACGCGTTGGGCCTGAATCTAGTGGCGCCACACCTGGACCTGCAGCTTACGGAAAAGGTGGTACTCAAGCGACTGTGACCGATGCAAACTTGGCATTAGGTCGCCTTCCGTCGAAACTGCTCGGTGGAAAGTTTCAACTGGATGTCGCCGCATCTACAGCTGCAGTTGAATCGATCGCGAAGCAAATGGGTCTTGATACAGCTTCCGCGGCTGAGGGTATCATCGACCTGGTAAACGAATCCATGCATGGTGCTTTGCGGCTGGTATCTGTCGAGCAAGGCTACGATCCACGCGACTTTGCGTTGGTCGCTCTCGGCGGTGCTGGTCCACTTCATGGTAACGCCCTTGGCCAGCTTCTTGGTTCCTGGCCTGTTATCGTCCCTCCGTCTCCCGGTGTGCTATGTGCGCAAGGTGATGCTATCACGAAGATGTCGCATGAGCAGAGTTGCACATACATTCGAGCATTCTCTGAGATAACGGAGGAAGAGCTTAAAGAGACATTACTGGATCTCAAGGCTGGTGGTGTGAAGACCATGAAGACTTCGCTTGCAGACGAAAAGGCTGCCCTACATGTCGTATACCAAGCTGATATGCGCTACAAGGGCCAAGCCATGACACTTACCGTCGATCTGAGTTCTGATGAGTTTAACAGCTCAGAAAAGCTTGTGGATGTCTTTCGTTCCAAGTTCAATGAGGCCCACCAACACCAATTTGGCTTCTCACACGCGCATGCTGAGATGGAGACGATGCGCTTGCGAGCCAAAGTCATTGACGCTTCCGAAGAGGTCGCTTTCAAGCCACTGGAGGATGCTCGTACTTCTGGACCTTGCGAAGACGCCATCACAGCTAAGCAGGTTATTGTCTGGAATGGGAAGAAGGTCGAGGCAACTTTCTGGGATCGGTCCAAGATCGGAGGAGCTGGCAAAATTATACATGGTCCAGCCGTCGTTACTGAGATGGACTCAAACACTCTCATCCTTCCTGGATTCTACGGAAAGATTGACTCCATGGGCAACATACTCATATGGCCTACCGAGAAGAAGGACCATGGAAAGGCCATGCACACCAAAGAGTCAGCTCAAGCACTGATCGAAGAGCAGCCAATCATCGCCACGCTCATCGCCTCTGCACTGGGATCCATCAGACGAGAGATGGATGCTCTTCTACTTCGTTGCGCCATGAGCCCAGCAATCCGCGAGCAGCAAGACGAGTTCAATGTCATCACCAACACACGTGGCCAGATGCTTGTCGGTCAGTTTGGATCATTCATACAGCAGTTCCTCGACGGCTGGAACGGCACAGTCGAAGAAGGCGATGTGTTTGTCACGAACGATGTATACCAGACCGATGGCGCCGTATCGCATCTCAACGACGTCATCGTAATACTTCCTATTTACTACGAGCACAGCCTTATAGGATGGGCCGCAAATTTTGGTCACATAACCGATGTGCAGGGAAAAGTACCAGGCTCCATGAGTATCAACGCAAGCACCATATACGAGGACGGGATTCAAATACCTATTGTCAAGCTCTACACGAAAGGCGTGTACAACGAGACTCTCGCGATGGTACTTTTCCGTAATTCCCGTGCACCAGACTGGTTTCAGAGTGATCTTATGGCGCTCGTTACAGCTTGCCGCACAGCTGCTACGCGCGTCACCGAACTGTGTGGGCGCTACAGCCTGGAGGTATACGAGGCAGCGGCGGATTACTTACTGGAGCAGAACAAGCTTGCCATTAGCAGGATCATCAATGACAAGATCAGCGATGAGGTATCAAGCTTCACTGATTTCATTGACGACGATGGTCAAGGAGTTGGTCCATATGCCATCACTTGCTCCATGAAGAAGGAGAACGGAAAGCTTATTTTCGATTGGGATGGCACTTCGCCGCAGTCAAACAGCTCGATGAACTTCTATCTGTCTATCACGTTATTCAAGATGTTCATCGGTTACCATTTGCTCGCCATTTACGATCCGTATGCTGTAAGTAAATCATGCGCCAGATTATCACGAAACGTAACTAACTCCGATAGGTGGTGAACGATGGATTCCATGACTTGCTAGATATCAAGATCCCAGCCGGTACCATCCTTCGCCCCGTACGTCCAGCAGCCGTCAGTTGCCGCACTCATCTCCTCGGTCGCATCATGGATGTTTTGCAAGCTCTGTTTGGCCAACAGAACCCCGCCTACCGTTGCGCAGCAGGTTTCTCCGACTCGCCCCATCTCTTCTACTCTGGTTTCAAGCCCGATGGCGAATTTTACTTGCTCTACCAAATCGGATTCGGTGGCGTGCCTGCGCGACCAATCGGTGATGGGCCGGACTGCCACTGTCTCTTCCCAGCTATCAAGTCCATACCAGCTGAGAACATCGAGCTCTACTACCCCGTCATCATTGAAGCCAACGAGGCATTGCCAGATTCTGGAGGCGCTGGTTTCTACCGTGGTGGTAATGCACAGAGGACGTTGTACAGATGGCTATGCGAAGGCGACGTCAGCACGCACGACGACAGATGGTTGACCAAGGCCTGGGGAGTCAACGGCGGAAAACCTGGCAGCAGATCGAGGAAGGTTGTCTACCGAAACAACAGCTATGGTACACCAGCCGAGAAGGATAACATGGAGTTCTGTCAATCGAAGCAGGATTTCATACATGTCTACCCAGGTAAGTCGCACTCACTTTTCGCATGCGAGGACTACAAAACTAACACCCCCAGGCGACGTACTAGAATGGATAACCTGGGGTGGCGGCGGCCTCGGCGACCCCTTGACCCGCCCACCCGAACGCGTAGCCCAAGAAGTCCACCGCCGCCTCGTCACCCCCGAAGGTGCTGCAGAGAACTACGGTGTTGTCGTCGACCCGCACAACTTCACATTCGATAAATTCGCTACATCTACTCTCCGCAGTAAGAAACGTGAGACGCGTGCCAAAGAGGGCGTCTATAGCACTGACAATACCATTGACCGCGGTGGCACTCTGAGCGAGCTAATGCGCAAGTGTGAGGAGGAGACGGGACTCAAGGCACCGGTTCCACAGTGGGAGAAGAGAATTTATGGTCCGCATGCTGGGTTAGAGTATGTGAGGACTTGGTATGAGACGATGAAGAAGGAGGGCATGGAGAGGTGGGATAGGGCTTAGAGTGGTTTGGTGCTCTGGGTGTAACGGTGAGGTGGCTATGTAGCGTGGATTAATGCTAATCTACATCATCCCGGTTTGCCTCCATGTCAATCTCTGACTTGCTTAGACAGCTCCGGATACCTTGCCTCCAAGAATTTGTGCATCTCATCGTCGTAATATTTCCAGCTCTCTGGTGGTACAAACCCTGCGATGGCACGTAGATTCGAATGGTTTGTTTGAGCAAAGATCTGCGCAAATCCCGATGGCCGCCTTGCAGCGCCCAGAGCGTAGAGCTGTACGATTGTACGACCTCTAAAATGGTGTTGCTCTGGGTAAGCTTTGTCGGCGAAGATGTACTGGTAGCGTAACGCAAAGCTCTCGACGACCGTCATCTCAATGGTGTAGTGGTTGAACTGAGGAGATGGTGAATCTAGCAAAGTCTCGGTTTCGTCGTTCAAAAACCTAGTCACCTCAAATCCAGCATAGTCGATGGGAAGGTCTGGGAAGGGCGACGGCTCGATGCGGTCAGTGTTCAGCGATACCACCCAAGATCTTTTATCGCCGACCAACCGGTTTCCTAGCAATGTAGACGTAGAGTCAGTCTTCGCGTGTGGGAGAAGCGCATCCGGAAGACTACAAGGGGCGATGTCAATCCCAACGCGCATCCATTTAGCCAGTTCCTGTGGAAGATGTTTCCAATGCTTGATGTCCATAAGTAGGTGACCTTGTTTCAGAATGAAAGTGTGGTCTGGAAACACAGAGTATGCTTTATTCCAGGTAATGAAGTTGACGTCGCAAGTCAAGATCGAGTTCAATATCACGAAGAGAGGAGTATATTCCGTCTCTCGAATGTAGACGGTTTGACAGCCCTTGGCGGTATCGCGTTCCATGAAAGGGTGCTAAGCCAGCGGTCAGCTACTTCAAGTACGGCAAAAGCTCGTCGATGCGACAACAGAGCACCTACGTTTGGGATGGAGCTGTCCTTGACCCTGTAACCCTCGTTTTCGAGAAACGATCTCAGGGCCTCGGCATGTGGGCCTCTCTCTACTAAGAGCCTGTCCAGCATAGTCGTAGGGATATCAAACATGCGGAAGTTGAGCGGTATTCTCAGCATGAAGCCGAACGCAAAAGATCCGCTGATAAGGATGTTGTGCTTCGCCTGTAGCGAGCGAAACGCGTTCGGACTTGTCACAAACACCTTCAGCTTTTCGTTGATATTAAACTGCGTTCGCTCGACCAGGCGCACATAATCAGTAAACGCCTTTGCGGCTCGTGAGAGTGCGATGATATCCCCAATGTCGAGATGGCGCAACACGCTGTCCTGGACTGGTGTGAAGCACGTCAATAGATCAGCTAGACCTGTACAGTCTGATACCATGTCTTCAGGTGTGTCTGATCGCCTACGTATGCGGCAGAGTTGAGTACGGACAGTCGAGGAGTACATCTAGCGGAATATGTCGTCTCCTCTATATAGGTATTGAGCTTGCTGCTCAAGCGACGTTGCGAACTGCTATATTGTTATTTTACCTCAGCAATCTATGCGGCTTTCTTCTTCTCGATCGCCTGACCTACAGCTTGTACATCCGTCTTATGCGTGTCAAATATCCTCGCTTTGACACGAGCAACAAACATCTCATCCAAACTGTCGTCGAGCTGAACAACTACAACACATCGTCCACTTCATCGATGATCTGCACCTTGATACTGCCATTGCTCAAATCCCCACACGTATGCAGCGCATCAAGCGCCTTCTCCAACGGAAACGTATGGCTAACAAGTGGCTTGAGATCCAGAATACCACCAGCCAGACACTGAAGGCCAGAGGGCCAAGTATCGCGGTAGCGATTGATGAACTTGAGATCGATCTACAGCAGTCGTTAGCAAAAACAGCCCTCAATCTGATCACAAACTTGAATAGATGAAGTGCAGTCCACCTACCTCCGCAAGACTCAAATGCATAAAGGGAAGATTATTCATAATCTCCCTCCCAACTCCGATCACCATGACCGTGCCCCCTCTCCTCGCCGTATACGCAGCAGTAATAACACTGCTCTCTACACCGGTGCACTCTAGCACAGTCTCAGGTGCACCATACTCGCCCACGTTCTCGAAGTCGAACAACTCTCTGATCTTCTTCGCATTGCCCTGCGCATCCAGATTGCGGTCGACCTGGTATGTCAAGGCCGTTGGTACGAACTGCTTTGCGAACGCCAGACGCTTAGGTTCGAGATCCGTGATGACAAGCGGATGCGCTCCGCTTGCTCGTGCTGCAGCCAGCGCAATGAGACCGATAGGACCTGCGCCGCAGATTACTGCACCGCGTCCTAGGGAAAGGCCGGCGGACTTGATACCGTGCATGACAACTGAAAGTGGTTCGAGAAGTGCGCCTTCGGCGTAGGATACGCTGGAGGGGAGTTTGTGACACCATTTCGCGGGATGCGTTTTGTAGCGTTGGATTGTGCCGTGGTAGGGGTAGACGCCGGCGAATTGGACGTCTTCACAGAGGTTGTAGCGGCCGTCCATACAGAGGAAGCATTTGCCGCATGGGACGCCGGGTTCGACTGCTACGCGATCGCCTGAAGTATATGTTAGTAGTGGTCTTGGATTCGGAGAGGTGCATCTACCAGGCTTCAAAGTCGTAACACCTTCGCCACATTGTAGAACGATGCCAGCTGCTTCATGACCGAGGATACAATCTCCTTCGACGACGAGCGAGCCTATTCTCCCGGCTTTCCAGAAATGAATGTCAGATCTGGCAGGTCATTATAAGCTTCGGAAATGCCCGTCAAGATGAAGCGCCTTACCCACAAACACCCGTAGCCTTGATATGCAATAGTACTTCTCCCTTTGCTGGCGCATACACAGGCGCTTCTTGCAGCTTCAAGTTGTGGTCCGCAGTGACTTGCAGCGAGGGATTTGGCAGCGATGTCTCGATAGTAGGTTTCTGTGCATGGGCGTCGGAAGCGGAAGACGCATCTACCAGTGCTGGGGTCATGTTTACTTGTCGCAGTGTAAAGATCGATCACCGCCGGTAAGAGCAACTGCTGTCAACTTGGGGGAGAAGGGTAGCGATGCATCAAGTAGCCCCACATGTTCAGCGCGCCAAATTGCCATTCTTGCCAAAGCGGAAATCCCATCCCTCAACCTGGAGACCGGAATGCGCAATAGTCGTGGCAAAATGCGGGGAAACGTCCAGCGGGACTGACGACGTAGTGTGTTGGTGGCTCTGGTTACCGTATTCGTCTAGTCTGGAGTCCTGTCGCCCAATAGGAATCGAAGACACCGAGCTTGCCTCCGCAATAGCGACGCGTCGGATTACCGAATGTGGCATGCCCGGCCAAATGTTCTGCATATACGTCGAAGATTAGTTTTCAGTGTAGCACGAAGAATACATATGTGTGATGCGCCTCCTTCTGTTGTAGGATCAGCAACCTTTTAATGTTGGTATTGTGAAGTTCGCAGCTCGCAAGACATTCCATACCCTCACATAATGCATACCTCGCAAGATTCACCGCAGGTCAGCGGCTCGACCGGTTACGGCAAGAACGTCGTAGATGGACTGAAGAAAGAGGCGAAGCTGGAACAGTCGTCTGTCCAGAAGTTATCGAAAGAGCAAGATCATGTCTTAAAGACATTTAGGTTGCTCATCGCGGATCTATGCCAGCAATTCAATGGCGGGCATCCCGGGTAAGATCCACTACCACATCTTGTAAGAGTGGAACTGACGATGCGACAGAGGAGCTATTGGTATGGCGGCCATCGGTGTTGCATTGTGGAAGTATGTCATGCGATACGCACCGCACACGCCTGACTACTTTAATCGCGATCGATTCGTCCTGTCAAACGGCCACACTTGTCTCTTCCAGTACACTTTCCTTCACCTCACAGGCTACAAAGCCATGACTTTCGACCAATTGAAGTCATACCACTCAGAGCGCACCGATGCGCTGTGTCCAGGACATCCCGAGATCGAACATGAAGGTATCGAGGTGACGACTGGTCCATTAGGACAAGGTGTAGCCAATGCGGTCGGACTGGCGATGGCGACGAAGAATCTCCAGGCAATCTACAACAAACCGGATTTCGACGTTGTATCGAATCACACATGGTGTATGATCGGAGATGCATGCCTGCAGGAAGGTGTTGCTCTGGAGGCGATCTCCTTCGCTGGCCATCTGAAACTTAATAACCTTACGATCATCTACGATAACAACCAAGTTACCTGCGACGGTTCCGTCGATCTCACCAACACCGAAGACGTCAACGCCAAGATGGCAGCATGCGGTTGGGATATCATCGACATTGAGGATGGGTGCTTTGACATCGAGGGCCTTGTCGAAGCCCTAAACAAAGCGCGATCATCCGCCGAAAAGCCGACATTCATCAACGTTCGGACAGTGATTGGTCTTGGTAGTGCTGTCGCAGGCGATGCCACTGCACATGGTATGGCATTTGGAGCAGCTGATGTAGCTAACATGAAGAAAGCGTACGGCTTTAACCCTGAGGAACATTTCGTTGTCAGCGAAGAAGTGCGCGAGTTCTTCGGAGACATTCCAGCGAGGGGCGAGGAGCTTGTAAAGTCGTGGGAGAAGAAAGTAGAAGAGTATCAGAGCAAGCACCCGGAGGAGGGCGCTGATTTCAGGCGCCGAGTCGAAGGTCGTCTGACGGACAACTGGAAAGATTTGGTCCCAAGTTCGTTTCCTGAGGCGCCCACAGCGACAAGGAAAGCGTCAGGGCTTGTCTTCAACAGGATTGCTGAGAAGATTAACAACTTCATGGTCGGCACCGCTGATCTGACGCCTTCAGTCAACATGAACTGGAAGGGCAAGATCGATTTCCAAAATGTAAGCTGTGCTCATCCAGTTGGAAACGTCATCGCTAACCCCACCTAGCCCGACTTGAAGACCACATGCGGCATTGTTGGCAACTACAGCGGACGCTATATCCACTATGGTGTGCGAGAGCATGCCATGGCCGCCATTTCGAACGGTTTGGCAGCATACGCACCGAACACCTTCATTCCCGTTACATCCTCCTTCTTCATGTTCTACCTCTACGCAGCCCCAGCCGTTCGCATGGGTGCGCTGCAACGTTTGCAGGTTATACATGCGGCCACGCATGACAGTATCGGCATGGGCGAAGACGGCCCAACCCACCAGCCGATCGAACTCGCCAATCTCTACCGCGCGATGCCCAATATATTGTATATCCGACCGGCTGATAGCGAGGAGACGGCAGGTGCGTGGATTACAGCGATCGAGGCGAAGAACACACCGAGTATCATTTCGACATCTCGGCATACTCTTCCTCAACTACCGCAAACGAGGCGAGAACTGGTTGCGAAGGGCGCATACGTGATCGAGGAGGTGGAGGATGCGGACGTGACGCTTATCGGTGTCGGTGCAGAGCTGCATCATGCTGTCGATACGGCGAAGGAGCTTAAGGCGAAGAAAATCAAGGCGCGTGTCGTGAGCTTCCCGTGTCAGCGACTGTTCGATGCGCAACCCACACAATACAAGCGGGACACGCTGCGAAGGCATCGAGGTATTCCGGCTGTCGTCATCGAGCCGTTCGCGCCGAACGGGTGGGAGAGGTATGCCGATGCGGCTTGCTGCATGAAGCGCTTCGGGCACAGCTTGCCGGGCAAAGCTGCTTATAAATACTTCGGATTCGATGTGCCTGCGTTGACGGCCAAGGTGGAGAGCTACTTGCAGCAGGTGCGCGACGATCCGCTGCTGAAGGGTGAGTTTGTCGATTTGTGAGGCTAGTGTAATGACAATTGAGGAATCAATCAAATGTCCATTTGATTAGACTACTTCTCTACCGATTGTGCATGTGTGATCGGTGTTTCATGAGGTAGTGAAGTATGTCAGGATGCACGACGCGTGCGGCGTCGAGCGTGTTCGCGCCTGCTCGCGTGATCTTCTAGCGGACCCACATGGGCACCTTATCGGCACTCTGGCAGCTACCCAGGCACAGCACTACAACTTTCCTCACAGACAGCTTGAAATCGACATGCGCCTCATGCCTTGAGGGTCAGCAAGGCCGGAGCTCAACTTCCATGATTATGTTCTTCTCGACCTATACCCAATGGCGTCTCACCGGCCTCCAGCTTCTGCCCATGCAAGGCTCAAGTCAGTTGAGCGTATCATTGGTCCATCAACCATGCTGCAGCCGTGCCACTCTTGTGCAGACACATTTGCCTTGCTAGGAGTATGAGCCCCTCACGTGCCCCTCCATATCTACGAATCTGTGCAGTGCACCCACATTGATGCGCGAAAACAATCGTCTCCCTGCGCCAGCCATGTACAAGCAGCTGGCTTCGCCGACAACGATTCGTGTTCTGCACGTTTATCCTGCGCCCGAAACAGATCCTCTCATATGCAGCCTGGAGCATTGCGACATCGACAGCGATCCGGAGTATGAAGCTATCTCGTACGTCTGGGGCGACTCGGATCTGGCATGGTCAGTCATATGCGATTCCAATGTCATACCAGTGACTCGCAGTCTGCACGAAGCTCTCCTGCGTATTCGGTTACCGGATCAGCGTCGAACAGTGTGGATCGACGGACTGTGTATCAATCAGATTGACGCTATCGAGAAGTCACACCAGGTGCAGCTTATGCAACGTGTCTACCGCAATGCGTACCGGGTTCTAGTGTGGCTAGGTCCTGATCTTCATGGCGACGCCCGCGATGCATTCGATGTCTGTTTTACATTGGGCCAGCGAGATATGAACGCTGAAGAGCTTAGGATTTCGTTAACAAACATCAATCTGCGTATGGACACATCCTATGTAATGTGGTACTCCTTCCGCGCCTTGTGTGTATGTCCATGGTGGCGGCGTGTTTGGATCATACAGGAATTCGCACTCGCAAAGGATCTGCTCTTCTTATGGGGCGCAGAAGAAATACCATGGATATATATCAACATGGCTGTCAGCAATCTTCAAGAGACAGACGTGATGTGGCGCTTTACGCCATACAAGTCTACGCTGCTCGAACCCATATCCCGATTGTCTGCAATTAAGGACCAACGCTGCTACGCGACGAGTTTTATGGGAACTATCCATACAGCCAGGGCATTTGGATGCTCAGACAGTCGCGATCGGATCTTCGCAATCTTGGGACTAGAATGCGGTGATGACCGTTGGGCAGCAGCAGACCCCGCTGGACAATCGCTAGCTGAAGCTACCATACCGGACTATACTCTACCTGTAGAGCACGTCTATCGGCAATTTGCTATTCGGGCCTTGCAGCGAGGTTTGACGGAAGACATCTTCTTAGCAGTTCAACATGGGGAACAGCTAGAAGAGTGGCAGCCAGGCGACATGCCATCGTGGTCACCACATTGGGACCTGCCTCTCGTCAATAATTTTCCATTCTGTCACAGACTGCACGAAATTTGCAAGTTCCCCGGTCTTTCCGTAGAGAGTGGCATCTCGTTTACGGGATGCGGTTCCGAGCTGCTGTCTATGTTACGAACATACCTCGACCCGCTCGCTATTGACACTCTCAACGTGCTAAGTGCTACTTTAGACACAATTGTGGCTCTCTCGGACACCATGGAGTTTGTGCAGTTCAGACTCCCGGGGACCATTCTGGAAAGCTTCTGGGAAGAGCACATCAGGCCTAGAGAAGCGGACCCTGGATACGAGGCTGTCATGACAGACTTATGTGAGACCGCTACCTACTACATGACTTCCGAAAACCACGTCAGTGCTTTCTACACGATTTCTCAACACCCGTGGGAAAGATCTCCGGCAGCGATAGCGGAATATGCAAAATACGGAGAGTATGCCATGCTGAGGTCCATAGCGCAGCTGCTATTAGAGACGAGCGAGATTGCATCTGTAGGAAACCCAGCCCTGCTAGATAAAGAAAAAGGCGAACATGGCTATTTCAAGAGGTTTTACATCACTCAGCAGGGCTACGTTGGAATGTGTCCAGCCGCCGCTCAGCCTGGGGATCATGTCGCCCTATTGTGGAACACCGATTGTCCTATGATCTTGCGTCCACAGGATGGCTTTTATCGTATCGTTGGCGGCTCATACATGGCAGCTGTGAACAGGAAGGAAATGGAAGGCATTCCTCACCCACTCGATGATCTACTGTCGGGTGGATTGCAGCCAGAGGTGATTCAGATTCGTTGACCAAAAGAGCTGCACATCGAGTGTGAACGCACTTGTGATCGATTATCCACGGGCCTTGTGCAGCATGTTCATTGCGCGCAATCACGATTTCTGGTGCGAGCCTTCGTACGAAGAGACCGTGTAGAACCACAAATGAAAAGAGCCATGAGTCTACGCCTGCGGACGGCAGCGCCCCACTGTAGGTCTATCGGGAAGCCCCGCGTCGTGCGCCATCGGTAGCCCCCGACATGTAGATCGAGAGTAACGCCATCAAGGGACTGATTGAACGATAAGCGGATGCATGACTTGCAGTCTAAATTGACAGCCATATAACCCAAAGGCTGACTTCGCGAACTTTATGAACTCGATCTTCGTTCATTCGACTCAGCGTTCACGAGATGTCTTCCCACACAACTTCAGCAATATCGCCGCCTGAGGAACTTGTCTCAAGCCTGCTCTCTACCATCGAGCAGAGCATCATACCCCTGACGCAAAAAGGCGTGTCAAGCGGTTCAAAACTCTTCGGTGCAGCCATCCTATCCCGCAAAGACCTTACACCATACACTCTCGCTACAAATAACGAGCGCATTTCACCCCTCTTACACGGCGAGATCAACTGCATCCAACAATTCTGCACCGTCGACTTTCCTGACCCATCAACACGACCCCACCCCGCCAAAGACTGCATCTTCCTCGCTACCCACGAGCCCTGTTCCCTGTGTCTGAGTGGCATAACATGGGCGGGTTTCAACGAGTTCTACTACTTGTTCACGTACGAAGATAGCCGGGATCTTTTCGGAATCCCGTACGATATCGACATCCTACAAGAAGTGTTTCGGGTACAAGGACATGACGAGACTGAAGAACAGGTACAGGGCAGGCAGCTTTACAACCGCAAGAACAAGTTCTTTACCGCGAAGAGCTTTGCCGATGTCGTTGGAGAGGTTGAAGATGAGGACGAGAGGAAGCGGCTACTGGGCGAGATCGACAGGGTCAAGAGTCTTTACAACAGTCTGAGTGAGACTTATCAGAAAGGGAAGGAGGCGGGGGCAGAAAGTTCAAGTGTGTGGAAGTAGATCAGAATGGTCTTTCTTTGGCACGGTCAATGTTCGGCGTTGGTAAACTTCAAGGGCGGCTTCAAGTTCCGCTTTCTAAGGTGTCGCTTTTAGCCCCGCATTTATCGATAACAAATTTCAGCTAGCTTCGACCCCTCGGAACGCGCCTGCGCGTGTGGTGTCAAACTTCAAGTGAGGAAGAATCTGACTCAACCAGAAATTAATTTTGTCATCTTTAACTCTGGGTGCCGCGTCGCGTACTTTCGTCCCATCTTCCCTTTCTAGTCTTTCCGCCAACCCGTTGCGCAATTTTCTGACAGTCCGCGACTGTCAACGAGGTCATCCGGAATCAGTCGAAATTTTAGTGGGCGAAGAAGGAACCCAGCAACGCTGTGTAACCAATCTGCAGAAGCCGGGCGGGGCTCGACGACAGAGGGCGGAAATATGGCGAACAGTCAACGAGAAGATAACACAATCTACCTCACAGAGAAAGAGGCGGAACGCATCCAGAACACCATCAAAGACCGGTTCAAAAAGTGCGAAGAGCAAAGCGGCAATGCAAAGGCCCCAAGAGACAAGTTGGCTGCTCACCAGGCTGCCACTGGTGCGGCTCTAATGGCAGATATGGGCGGTGCGCCAGATCCAGACATGCTGCAAACCCAGGGGAAGACCTCAACTACTATTCCAGTGATCGGAGTAGGCCGACCGTATCCACCATGCACGACTCCACTGTCAGATCTGGAACCGATGCAGATGTCAGATCTCAGGATGGAAACGCATCACCGAGGCCGCAAATTGGTGGTCAAGCGAGAAAGCCCTGTAGTCACACTCGTAGCGAGGTCATGGACTATGGTTCAGAATGAAGATGGAACCGATGCAGAGCGTCTGGAGATGTTGCTGCATAAGTCGCGGTATAGCGAGGACGTACTAGAGTCAACCAAGCTGTTCATCATCAAGGAGCCATACTTCACCCTCACTGAACAGGGCGAGCCTACAATACGCATCGACCATCCTTCAGATCTGGTCATCTGCCATGAAGAAGGCCCAAAGAGTTTCGAAGATGCAGCAGCAGCAGAAAAGGCAGCGACAAGGTTCAAAACTCAGGGCAACAATGCACTCAAGAAGCAAGATCTCCCACTGGCCCACGAGAAGTACACAGCAGGTCTAGCGATCGCAAAGCAAGACATTCTAGCAGAATCGAACCCCGATATAGCACGCGACATCTCCCGGAATCGCGCGTACGTGAACTTGCTACTAGGCCGACTAGATGAAGTAAAGACAGACGCCCGCGCCTCACTAACCGGGCGCGAAGATCAAAAGTCCAAAGAGCTAGATAGTAAAGCCTACTACCGCGCTGGTTCAGCCGCGTACGCCCAAAGCCATTGGCTAGAAGCCAAACAGTTCTTCCAGGAGCAACAAAAGCTGACCCCCGACGACAAAGACGCCAAACTTTCACTCAAGAAAATCGAAGCCCGCCTCCGCGAAGAAGAAACAGGAGGTTACGACCTAATGAAGATCCGCACCAACCTCTCCAAAGCCCGCTCACGAGTCGACGCCGGAAACTTCACCAAGAACACGCTCATCAAAGACAGTCCCGGAAAAGGCCGCGGCCTGTACGCAACACGCGATCTCGCCATCGGCGACATCGTAATGTGCGAAAAAGCCTTCTGCGTAGTCTGGGGCCACGAAGAAGACACCCTAACAGCCATGACCTACGACACACGCGATGACCGGATTCGCGTCGCACCCGTCGGTCTCGCAAAAGCACTCGTCCAGAAATGTTTGAACCAGCCTTCTCAAACAGAAAAGCTGATGGATCTCTTCGGCGACTACCAAGGCGAAGGCCCACAGATCTTCAGTAATGAAGACGGCGCTATAGTAGATGTGTTCCGCGTCCACGACATCATGTCGCGGAACGGTTTCGGGCCTGGAAGCCAATTCGGCGAGGAAAGTGCTCGGAACGCTAGTACGGGACTTTGGTGTCACGCGGCTTATATCAACCATTCCTGTCTGTCCAACACGACGAAGGAATTCGCGGGCGATATGATAATCATCCGAGCGACCCAGCCCATCAAAGCCGGCGAGGAGATCTTCCATCCATACGACGCGTCGCTTGACTACGAAACGAGACAGGGTTTCTTGGAGAGGACATGGGGTTTCAGATGTCAGTGTAAGTTGTGCGATGCGGAGAAGGAGGATGGAAAGGAGGTGAGGGATAAGCGGATGGAGTTGGTGGGGGAGGCGGATGCGTTTATTGATAAGACGCCTTGGGCGGGGGCGAAGAGACTGCAGTTGAGGAAGGCGCAGGGGATTCTGAGGGAGATGGATAAGACGTATGATGAGGGGAGGTGGGAGGGTTTGCCTAGAAGGCATACGGAGGGGATTAGGGCGTGGTTGGTTAGGGCTAGTCCGCGGTAGGATGTGTAGTAGGGGGCCTGTTACGAAAGGGTATGTAGGGTTGGGGAAGTGTGGATATGTGGATTGGTATATCGCTAGTCCGAATTACAAATGTGTGAGCGAGTGTGTCTGATCACCAGCTACAGCCCCCTCTATCATTACAACAGAAAGCACGGGCAATCCAGTGCCAAAAAAAGCCTCTCAAACCTTCGTCGACTTCGTCTCCATCATCTTAGGCTCCTCGTATGGCGGCACTGATCCCGTCTCCTCACTGCCTATCCTCATAATGGCGTTCGTGTTGTCAATCGTCTCCAAAGGCGCAACTGGCTTGTCACCGAGAAGGACCTTCTCAGATGGAATGATCCAGTTGAACCACGATGGCATCAGTAGACCTAGAACGATGGTAGGCAGCACGAGGTGCACGATGCTGAAGCCGTAGATCATGATGGGGTCGAACATGTGTTGTTGTGTGAACTTGGGATAGGCGAAGGAGAGGACAATGGCGAGAATAGGGCCGGAGATGTACTGTGAGACAATGCAATTAGCGAGATGCATTCAAAGGTCTGATTACATGTGAACATACCTTCATGATAATAGCCCAGTAAAAGGGAATGTTCCAGTTCTTTCCCACGCCAATAGTCACATTCATGTCTCGGGTAAGCTGGTGTCCAGGGTAGAAAGCGACCCACCAGAAACGACTCAGAAACTTGTTGTTACCGAAGAAGCGGGGGCCGGGGATAGCAGGGGTTCGGGCAGCGAAGAGCGCGATCAAAGAGCTGACGATGAAGAAGGCGAAACCAACACCAGCACCGGTTCCGGGGGTTGATCCGTAGGCGACGCGGATACCGAGACCTTGGGCCACGGCGAAACCGATGGTGAAGATGAGGTATCCGGGCCAGCCGACTTGGTGGGCGACGTCGCGGCAGCGGTAGAGGGATGTTGCGGCGAAGGTCTCGCACCAAACTGTGAAAAAGAGGGCGACATCGTTGACGTAGGTATCAACTGCATCGAGAGCCTGCAGTCCGAACTCAGTGCAGTAAATGAGGGAGATGAGTGCAGATATAACGGTAACAATGGTGCAGACGGCCCAGCGAGGAAGTTTGCGGCCCCAGTTCGTGTCCATGATGAGTGTTGTCATGACTTCGAGGAGGGAGAAGGCGGATGTCAGACCGAGGAGGAAGAGGGTGAAGACTATGAGGAGCGATTAGCATGTTGTCTCATTCGAGGATGATGTTTTCAAACTCACAAAAGACCACGGAGAAGAACGGAGCACCTGGCATCTGAGCAAGAGCCTCGGGATACGTGATGAATCCCGTAACGAAAGTACCGAGCTGTGTGCCGCTGGAGGGATCAATGCCCAGATAGCCGACGACACCGAACACTGAGAAAGCTGCGATGATCTCAACGGCGGAGTTGCTGAAACCAATGATAAGAGCATCTTGTACGGCGTTGGAGTGCGAAGAGCAGTAAGATGCCCATGACGTGAAGTATCTATAGGCATCAGTATACCTCTTTTCTCAGACGTGCAACTATACATACCCAAAACCGACACCGATGGAGAAGAAGATCTGACCAAAAGCCGCTTGCCAAATTTGAGGGCTCTCAAGTGCGCTGGTGCGCCATGTCGCGAAGTAAAGCTTAATACCCTCTCCAGCATTAGGCAGCGAGACTCCACGGCCGATGAGGATGATGATAAGGACGAGCGGGAGACCCATAGTAACGTAGATGACACGTCCAGTCATACCAACACCCCTGAAGACGCACAGCCAGGTGACGAACCATGTGAAGATGGCCCATCCTGCGGTTTCCCCTAGCATACCAGTTCCGACGTATTGAGTGTACGAAGCGACGCTGCCATCGGGGTTGAGACTACCAGTGGAAGCTGCGGCCGTGTTGGCAACGATAACGTTGGCGAAGTACTCCTCGAGATCCTGGCCTTTCCATGGCAGAGGGCTTTGGAAACTGCGGGAGAAGTACTTCATAATCCATGCTAGGAGGGGCACGTAGTAGGTAACCACGACATACTATGAAGTTGCGAAGTCAGCGTATGTTTCTCAGTATTGCAAGTCGATTCCACTCACGCCGTTGAAGACGACCGCTAGACCAATACCCTTAGCGCGCTTGTTGTTGCTGTGCCACGCGAGCACTGGGCCACCACGGTAAACGCTACCGAGAGCGATCTCAAGGACCAGGACCGGCAAAGCGACGAAGAATAGGGCGATGAAGTAGGGTATGAAGAATTGAAGACCGTAGTTGTTGTACACGACCGATGGAAAGCGCAGCAGGTTACCAAGACCAACAGCACCGCCCATGGCGCAGAGGACGAACTGGATGCGGTTCGAGAACATGTCGCGTCCATCTTCGCTCTTCTTCGCCGCTGGCGAGAGCTTCATGAGGATATTCTTGATTGCAGCCATCTCGACGACTGAGTGTAGTAGGCAGAGAACGAGAGAAAAGGACTTTGTCGCTCCCGACAGAGTGACGGGGTCAATTCACGACCGTGTAAAGGCGAGTTGCGGAGACGAACGTGAAAGTCGAACCGTAAGATTCGCGCAGTGAGATCCCGGTATATAGAGCCCTACAATCTGACTGTCGTGCCACATATCCTATCTCTCCAAGCATGTGCCCAGCCCAAGCAATCGCCCACCTTCCTTCTACAAACAGCACTAGTAGTGTGGCGCTCGCATCCAAGGCTTCCCCAGATCCTGCGCAGAGGCTCAGCTAGCTTGGGCGTACCCTATTACTCGGGTACAACGGGTCTTGAGTGATCAGCAGCTCCACATTGGTTGGTTCGGTCCATCCTGAGCGCTCAACACCACTGCCGATTCCGTACCAGGCGTGCATGTATCTCGGACATGGCGCTGAACCTGTGTTGGCGCGTCAGCCATGGGGAGGAATGAGATATCGTCTAGTCAGTCCAGTCGGTCTTGGGTTCTGGTGTATTGATCTTGGCGCGCGGTAAACCTTGCGCACGCGACAGAGCTCGACGCATCCAGATCTGGGGTAATGCTCGGAATCCGTCTATGGGTTGCGAGTGGGACCAGAGTTGGCCGTCAGCCACGAGGGGTCCGATACCTCTTGGTGCCTAAGCACGATGGCCTCGGCGTGCGTTTGTGGTCACACACGTGACCCATCGGGACGCATCTACATCAGTAATTATTGTATCGTTCAGGTGTCTTTTGGCGATACGCGTCCGATGAACAATGGGCCACCAGGCTCAAATACTCCCATTGAAGTTCCTCGCCTACATGGACAGGTTCCCGGTCAGCCAGCTGGTAGTAAGGTTACGCCGAGTGACTGCTATCAGTCAGAGGGCGCCCGGCTATGCGGCACTCGCTTGGCCTTGGCGGCTTGGATGCCCAGTGATCTGGGTCGGGCGTACAGTCGCTCCCACGATTCTATGTGTTGGTATGACCCTCTCATGATTGAATGAGAAGGTGTTGGCGTTGGTAATGATGATAGGGACTCGGGCCGCTTGGCTATGGTCGCAATTCGGCGGTTATTTGCGGCATGGTGGTGGTTTTGGCAAAGCGTCGCTCCTTGTGAACGTCTTCTAGAAGCAAGAGTGGTCTGCGAGGGGTCCTAAGTTGTCTTGGTGTTGTGTGCCTCCTCTTGCTGCATTGCGCTAATCAGGTGCCGGCTTGTGCCTGAGTGTTTGGAAGGGGCGTGGGAGAGGCAGCATCGTGCCTACCTAAGTGATTTGAGCAACGTCGCGTTAACCAGGGGCAACCTCGTTGAACAAGCTGTTTCGGATGCGAAGAATCGCAAAATTGTGGGAGTTAGGGGCATTGCCTTTTGTTATATAGGATGGACCTTGATGGATCACTCGTAGGGCGCGCGGGCGGGAGTGGAGGCTAGCGCCGATTTCGGGGAAGTCGGACCCGTCTCGGAATGATCGTGCGGCGGAGAACTTCACGACCACATGTTCTCAAAACCCCTTTTTGCAAAGAATATGGCATGCCTAGGTATCTGAATACATTGGTAGACGATTCGTACCTCATTCCGCTGCTGGAGATGGATGTGGCATTACCGCTCATGCTCTACTCCAAAGAAACGCGCGTGGACAGCGTGACATTCATGAGATGAACTTGGTATCGAGACTACGGGAATGAAGGAGGAAGCTGTCCTTGTGAAAATGAGAAGAACTGTGTAGGAGATCGTTTCGGTCGTTACCAACACTCAATCACACCTCAAACTCCAAACCCCAACTCTCTCAGCCCCATCACCACCCTACCACCAGCCTCCTCCACACCCTCCCACAGCCCTCTCAACCCTTCGTCACTATCTCCCAACACCGGATCCTTCTCCGGCATGCCCACTTTCCACACTTCCCCCTCTTTTCCGTCATGCTCACCCCCAACAGCGAAGTCCCAAACTCCGCCATAAGGATACGCACCCATCATCATAAACTTCCCGCCGCTAACATCCACACTCTCAAAAAACCTCCTCCTCTCCGCCTCCTTCTCCTCATCAACCTCCGCCGCCCTCCCCTCCTCTACATCCTTCGGTTGGTGAAACGCCAATTCCTCGTTCCGCGGTCGCGGCAAAAAGGTTTTGTGGCTAACCCCCGCTGGGATGATGAAGACATCGCCCAGTTCCGCTTTGATATCCACGCCGCCAACCTCTCCATCTCCTCTGTCACCCGGTTCGTATTTCCCTTGCGACCAAGACGGGGAGTCAGCGACGCCGAAACGGATCCATGCGCCTTCGCCTGAAATGACGGTCATGGCTTCGTGGGTAGTGGAGTGGTAGTGCGATTGTATGTCCATTCCGTACTGCGCTATCCATTGTGTTTGCCAGCCATTCGATGCATAAAGGTCGAGAATCTCTCTTGTTTTGAAGTGCGGTGAGGTCACCATATCATAGAGGAGACCGGGATAGTGGAGGAGTGGGTAGGGCGAGTTAGGAATGAGGGCTGTAGGAGGGAGTTTGTATTCGTGGACTTTTGTCGCCATTGTAGGATCTGGACGAGGTAATCTTGAGTATTTGGGTTTGATGTGGAAGATCCCGCAGGTCAAACGAGACAGGAAATTTCTGAAACGCCCCATCGGATTAGTCGCGACGGGAGTAACCGTCGAAGTTTGGTACGGTGAGGGGCGGGGTGGAGTTTGTTGGTAACCTTGGAAGGAGTGGGGTATACTAACGGATATACACATGGGGAAGTACTTACCCGAATAGGAAGTAACAGCGCGGGGTTCCACGTCAGAACTATTAATGGGATGGGAACCGAGATATCTGCACCTTTGTATTTGTAATGTGCCTACGCCGGACGCCTGCAGTTTCGCAATATTAGCTTTCCCAAGGTGCTCCAGTTGCGTTAGCTAGCCTGGAGTGCTGCTGCAATCGAATGGCAAAGTTACGATTTCATGTGCAGTGCTCCATACCTAAACTTGACTCCGTTTTGGCAACTTACACGGTGCCTTGAATTTCTCCTGACAACCCGTGAGCGGAGCTAAAGAGGTGCAGCTTCAGTGCGGGTGTCCCTTGCGCAATACACTTATCTAGTGGAGGGGTACATGCTAAGCGACATAGCAAGAGGTTCTGGTGTAGTTCCTGCCTAAATACGCGCCTGCTCTCCTACGCTCCTACTCCTTCACTGCGACCCTAACCTAATGCAGAGGTACTGACATCTTGGCATGCATCGGACGACCGGGAGCAGAGCTCAGTGGGCTGATGAGAAGTCGTGTCTTCCAACATCAAAAGCCTCCAGCGGATTGCGATATGCAGCTAGAGCTGCGATCACTACATCTCGGCCTCGTGCAATATACATGTACTCACATTGGGCGTATTTTTCAAAACTCCGCTGCAACGAACCACACACCCTCGCTATCGCACATCCAACCCCTTGCACAATCCTCGACTCCTTACCTCGCACCTCGCAAGCACCGAATCCCTTCCACCGGCTCCGCTCCGCATCCCTCACCCACCCAAAATGAGCCGAGATGTCTACACTACCAACTGCATGGCGAGATATCATGTTTCTTTGGTACCACGGCTAGCTCATCACTGCTACACTCCTTTTCATGGAAAAGATATTCAGAACCTTGACTTGGCCCCTCTTGTGTCCTCTTAACATGTCCATCCTTTATAGCCGTCTTCCCACCTCACATGATGCCCAACTCCCCAAAACCCTTGAGAACCTCTTTGTCCACTCGGCTCAACCACTCTTCCTGGAAGGCTTGTTCACCACCCACTTGTTGGATGACCTGTTGAAGATGTTCCCTAACGAACGCAACGAGATTGATCTGATGCACAGGATCAGTGTAGATCAGTTCGCGCTTGCGGATATCCTCCGGTGCCTCAGGTTCGGTGGGGTGGTAAGGTTCTGGGGGCCAGAATAGGGAACTAGAAAGAGACATTAGTATAGACAATCGAGCAGAAAATGAGAGAGAGTACGTACTCTTGACTCCGATCATCCATGCCATCCAGCAACTCTCCTAGTACATCCGTCCATATTCCTACCAGCGACTGCAGCCTGCCCAACATCCAAGGCTGTGCTCCTTCTAAGAAACGTGTGAGAACAAGGCACATGAGTTTCTTGTTTGGCGCATCGCCAATGTTCTCGATATGGCCGAACCACTCTTCCAACAACCAGTCTAGAGTCTTCTCTAGACCTTCACTTGATAATGCGGAGAGGGCTTCGAGGAGTACAGAAGGTGAAGCCATGCCGATACGTGCTAGCACAGTGAAGTAGTCGGTTTCGACAACCCCATCAACAGCGCGGGAAGGGAGTTCGCGGTAAGGGCCGTGGGATTGATGGTGGGTCCATGCGCCGTGGAGACCCTCCAAAACCTTTGCGAGGAACCCGGAAGAGATCAAATCGCTAGTCAGAACCTTGACAGCGTTCTCGCCACTTACACCTTCCGCACCTCGAATGATGCATGTCACGAGATGTGTCATTATGCCATTCGCTTCAGGTTTCAAGTTGCCTAGAAGCTCAGCGAGGGCTTGGAGGATCGCGGGACGGAAAGAGTCTGCCAGGACGGCGGAGGGCGCAAGAAGCAGGTACGCTTCTGTGATCTCGATGGCTTTTCGCAGGGTCTCGTTGTCCATGGAGAACAGAGGTAGCAGATATTGAATTAGGTTGAGCAATTCAGGTGGTGTAGGCTCTGGAGCTGATGGTGTTTGTGCAATGATGGAGGCCCATAGATCGAGTGCATCTTCAAGGAGGTAGACCTGGGTTTCTGAGCCAGGCTCGATAGCGCTCTGGATAATGGGTAAGAATGAGACATGGAAAGAACGTGACTCGGCCTTCATGGCGTTCGTTAGACGAGCCAAGAGTGTGAGAATCGCCTGTTTCATGAGATGCTCTTCGCCAGACTGCTCCCACAGCGGTGGGAGAAGAGCGATGATGCTGTTGGCGTATGGGGTGATCTGCATCCAGTTAGTCTCAATAGTCTCAATACTTCAAGTGTCTCCATCTCCGACTTACATGATGCTCTAACCTGTATACAACAAGACTAATGGTGTTTAGCAGTGCCATCTTAGTTTCTGGAAGTTCCACCTCTTGGACCAGCGCCATCAGCCTATCGAGCATAAGCTGCGAGTACGGCAGGAATGCATCTGCTTGGAACTCCCACTCGTCGGCGACGGCGTGGAATTTTCTTCCCGCAGTTATTCGTACCACTTGATCGTTCATTGGGTCGCTCTTATCGAGGAGATGCTGGAAGATCTGGTAGACGATAGGCTTCTTTTCCTTGGCCATCTTAATAGTTATCCACTGGGAGATGATAATAGCGATGCGGCGACGAATGATGTTGAAGCCCGGTGTCTGCTTCGCCGCCTCGACAACCAAGGTCTTCTCAAGGAAGGTGTCGAAGTCAAGTTGATCGTGCAGTATGTCAGCCGCAAGACCAACGGCAGTGTAAACGGAGTCCTTGAAGAGGATGTCTTCGTTTTCCGGTGCTATCGAGCGTTAGCGAGAATCATGTACTGTTACAGTGAGTACTCACTCGCGACTGTGTAGAAGACTTGGAGCAGAGGCTGAATGATCAAATTTTTGAAATTCTTTGCGAGGTCTAGGAACAGCTTCTCGGCACAGGGTCGGATCGCAAATTCCCAGTCCTCTGCTCCCTCTTCCATCTTCTCCCATTCGTCAGGCTCTTCCTCCCACATACGGAGGTCGCTGGGCCTGAAGACGAAGAAGCGCTGGACAAGTGCTGAGATCATTTCACGAACAAGGTCGTCAGTGAGTAGGTCTGTCTTGATCTTGTGCGTGGCCGCATTTTTCTCATCCTTTTCCTGCTGGTGCTTGAAGCGGAAAGTCTGGGTGGGAAAGAAGACCATCTTCACGCATGCACGAATCAGTAGCAAGCCTTTCAGACCTAGACGCTCGAGGATGGGTGCTTCATCTTCAGCATCGCCATCAGTACCGACTTTGGCGCCCTCAATAGACTTTGAGCCCCATTGCTCACCTAGTCGTGAGATGAGGCTCCAGTAGTCGCGCGCAAGCTCTATCGAGTTGGGTAAAAGGACGAAATCTGCTGGGTGAGTCGTGGTCATGTTGAGATGCAACTTTGAAAGCTGCATTAAGTGCCTGCCTATCTTCTTCTGAACTTCGCCTGCAAGTGGTGAGTTCTCCGGTATCACGTATTGCAGGAACTCTCCGAGATGAGTACGGGTCAGTGTCCAGAACTCTTGCACATCCTTGTCTCTGCCTGGAAACTCGTAGCCGGCGATTATAAGTCTCCGCATAGTCTTGATAGCAAGCAGACTGTTGTCGATGCTCTCAAGCGCACCGCCTTCGTCGTCTCCGCCATCGCGAAAGAAGGCTTGCCATGTTTGCACCTTGTTCACGTAGATGGTACCGAGTACGTTGAAGATCTCCGGGGCGACGGTCTGTAAGCTCTGCCGTGTTCGTAGTAGTCGCCCCGTTGACAGTTCCTTGACGATGTATAGCAAGACGAGAAGGGCGCGAGGGAGTTGTAAGCGGTAGGCGTTCGGATCCGTCGAGGCGCGAAGAATGTGGAGTAGTTGTTGGAATAGATCTGGCCTAGAAATTGTTAGAGCATGCAAGTATACGCTGGGCTGGGACTGACCAGTCATTTGGGAACTCGAATCGGACGATCTTAGCGACGACGAGTGCATTCTGTAGGGCCAGGCGATGGTCGGCTTCGTTGACGGCGCTTTCTAGTAGACGGGCCCGTATGGTAGCCTTGTCTTCCTTGCTTACAGCACTGCGGTCACGTAAGCCTATGCATCTCTGCGGCTTTATGTGGAGGCGTACTTGGTGGCAGTCTTGCGCCAGTACTTGTCGATGCCGTTCTTGAGCTGGATGACGGCGAGGTAGCGAACTTCGAGGGGGAGGGATTGGTCAAGGAACACCGTCTACTAGTGTCAGTCCGGTGTAATTCAGTGGGCTAAGATATGCATACCTGCAGCAGAGGATAGAAACCCGCGGCCTTTTCCCATTGCTGGAGTTGCTTGGTGCCCGTCTGTACTTGAGTTTGATCTGCTGAGGACGCTGATCGCAGGACGTGGAACAGGATGCTCTCAGTAAGAGGATTCGCCTCCGCCGGCGCTTCAATGCTGAACTCTGTGTTCATGCTGTGAGTGTTGACGGTCAACTATCGCGGTAGTGGGGCAGCCGCAAGTAGGTGAACTTTTGGATATGACAGGAACAGGCAAGTAGCTGGGCGGAAGCGGCTCACGGCTCAGGCGGAATGCGAAATCTATGGAGCCTGCTCACCCAGGCTGCGATCAGGATGCGGCAAGTCTTGTTTGGGAAGTCTATCTTGGTGTTTGGGAAACAAATTCGAGAAGCTCCCCGCCTGACAGCTCGGACCTCCGAGACACGAGACAGTGATTCTGGGGCACCTTGTTGGCAGTTGACATATACTGCGCATAGGATGATCAAGTGTGTGTCATCTGTCTAGCGTGTACCTGAATATGGTCTCTCCACAGAAGCACTGTTATGGGCGTGTCTGAACATGGTCCCGGCTTGTCTGGAGAAGGCGTCGCGCGCATCGGCTACTCCCACGCCTTCCCCAGCCAACCTCGGTCCGTCGCAACTCGAGCCTCGTCTCCCCATCACGCTGTCACGTTGCAGCCCCATCGCGCGCCATCGCCAACCACGCCCGTAGCATCAACCCTCCCAATGCGCCCAAATGCCCTCCGCAGACTTCGCCGCCGCCCAGCAACGCATCGCAGCCCGCCGCGCTCAACGCGCCCTTCAGCAGCGCAATCACCATGAGCCGCCGCCATCAACCGCACAACGCGCCCTCTCGCGCCTGCCTTTCCCCTTCAGCAGCGTCTCCTCGACCGGATTCAGCGTCTGGGACGCGATAAAAGGCCGCTCGGGAACACGCCCAGAGTTCCGCGTCGGCCAAGTCGATGCCGAACTCCTCGATGAGGAACTCCTCACCCTGATGAAGAGCCAAGTCGGCGAGGGCTTGAAGTACTTCGGAAGCCATATCACAGATCACTACTCGGCCGAAATATTGCTGGCATTGAGGGCTGTGCTGTGGAAACTGAGCATTTGGGACCAGAACGCGAGTTATGGCGCACATCTACAGGGGCTGAGGTACACGGATGCGCGGAGTAGTGCGCCAAATCGCCCACCACCCAAGCCGTGGCAGAAGATCGCATATGGTGCTGTCACAGTGGGAGGGCGGTATGCGTGGACGAAGTGGGAAGAGTACCTTCTATCCGCTTCAGAAGACTACACCCGACCCGAGAGCGCGCGATTGAAAGTCCTGGGACGCTTGAGCGAACTGGCCGGAAACGCACACGACGTCCTCGGCCTCGCCAGTTTCCTGGTCTTCCTCGTCGACGGCCGGTATAGAACAATTACCGATCGCCTCCTCCGTCTACGCCTGACACCAACCTCGCACTCAACATCACGCGAAGTCAGTTTCGAGTACCTCAACCGCCAACTCGTCTGGCACGCCTTCACCGAGTTCCTCCTCTTCCTCCTCCCCCTCGTCGGCATCTCGCGCTGGCGCCGCATCCTAAGCCGCACATTCAAGAAGCTACGCACAACCGTCCTCTCCCTCCTCGGCCGCTCGAAACCCGCCAACGACGAAGACGACGAGGAGAGCAAAGCAGCCGGCGAACTAGGTTTCCTCCCTGAACGCACCTGCGCAATCTGCTACCGCGACCAAAACCCCACAACCACCACCGAAGCCGACATTCTCACTTCGTCGGCCGGCGGCGGCGGCGTCGTCGGCTCCGCAACAACCGACATCACCAACCCCTACGAAACCATCCCATGCGGCTGCATATACTGCTTCGCCTGCATCGCGCAACGCATCGCAAACGAAGAAGGCGAAGGCTGGACGTGTCTCCGCTGCGGCGAGACAGTCAAGGAATGCCGGCCCTGGAACGGCGATGTCATTGAAGAACAGCCCCGTCGTGTTGAGCATACCGAAGTGCACGAGCGACCCAGTACAGCCAAGTCTGTTGGTTTCGCTACTGCTGGCGATGAGCTGGATGAGAAGGCCCTGCTGAGGGAAGTCGATCCGATGCCGGAGATGGAAGACGCTGCGGATACAACGCAAGAAGACGAAGAGGGCATAATGGGTACGACTCACACGCGCGGTCTGGATCTCGGGGAGTCGTTGTTCACGGAGAGTTCAGAGTGGGCGCGTGCGAGCGAAGATCGAAGCAGCGACGATGAGCAGAGTGAGGAGTACACCGAAGATAGTGAAGAGGAAGAGGAGGGTGATCAGTCGGGCTTTTACGACCGACGATAAGACTTGGGAGGGTTGGTTTGGTTGGACTGGGACGGGGGCTACACGACTGTTGTATAATTACTGGACGCGTTGAATTGCAAGATACCCTGATTTCTCAAGCTTGGTTTGTTCCATTGTGCTATGCTATCAAGTGTCATTGAGCTATCGTGAGACTAGTCCGTTATTGGACTCCGACGTTGTGATCTTGATCGTTTGGTGAGGTAATCGCTCATACATAGATAGATTTCACATGCAAAGCCAAAGTCTTTCGCGCCGCAACGCCTTGATTGATGCGGTCCGTCCTGCGTCGTGTAGCATCTGCCGGCTCTTGCCCTTGCGCTGGCCTCAAGGCTCCGTAGCATAAATGCCAACGTGCATAGTCGCAACCTGGCCTTCTCTCGTTATACACAGCAAACCGCCCATTGTCTCATCACGTCCGCATGAAATCCGCAAACCTCGGCAGCGCTGCCATCTTTTCCTCGGGACTTGTCGTCTCGGCGAAGAAGATGAGGCGCTGGTTCTTGTCCTTTTTGCTCTTCTTCTCTTCTTTTGGCGCAGCCTCCTTGGTGACCTCGTTGATCAGGTCGTCGACAGAGTTGGATATGTCGCCGTTCTGACCGGCTGGGTATGCACCCGGTGGTGGAGCGCCGAAACCAGGTCGAGGAGGTAACGCGCCAGGTTGGCCGGGTATGCTGCCAGGCCGTGGAGGCATGCCACCGTTGGCGGGCGAGAAAGGTTGCGGGACGCCTTGGGGAAGGTACGCGGGCGCGCCGGGTGGGAAGGCCACGGGAGCGCCAGGAGGTGGTACGCCGTACGGTGTTTGAGCGACTGGTGGTGTCTGTGGATATGTTAGTCCCATATCTTTTTCCTGTCCAGAATCTCGGATACATACAGCAGTCTGTACTGGCTCCACAGGCGCGGGTAGCACACCGTTCTTTCGATCTTCTCTGAACTGGGCCGCCCTCTTCTCAATCTCCTCCAGACTCTCGTTGATCTTCGGCCTCTTGTTCGGTGCAGCTTGGCCATTGACGTACGCTCCGCGCATAGGGTTACCGGTAATTCGCGCGCGCTCTTGCTCTTCGGCGAAATGTGCTTGTGTGACTTGCTGGTTGTGCTGGTCTATTATCTCGGCGGGGACACCCTCCATACCGAAGATCTCCAGCTCGAGACCCTGACGGCCGGGGTTGGCATTTTCGACGTGAGTGAGCGTCTCCTTGTGGACCTGGTTCATGTGCACGGAGAGACCTGAGAAGCTGTTAGTATTGCTTATCCAGTGCGCGGAAATGAATCGAGCGGTGCGTACCTCCGGCAGTATTTAATCGTCTTCCGCAGCGGTCGCATTTGAAATGTTTGGCCTTTTGGTGAGAGATGAGAATCTTAAGGTCGTCGAAGTCGCGCTCGCAGTAGTAACACCATGGTCGCTGCAGACGTCAGTATGGGCGCTGTATGCGATTTGGGAGCGCATATCGTACCTCGAGCTTCTGGTTCAAATCCGGATATCTTCTGCGTTTCTTCGTCATCTTTGCGATTGGTAGGAGGGAAGTGGGGAAGGCGTGGTCGCGATCGCGGTCAGTCGAAGTGAAGCTCAGGGCTCGCGGTTCCTCGAGAGCTAGCCTAGCGCGGTGGTCCATGCGGCGAACATCTCAACTTTTCTTTCCTGGTCGCCCTCTTCACTCACAACATACAATGACAGACATCATCAGCCTCTAATGTGAGGACGAAACTATGTCGCTTTGTCATTATAAATACATCCATCCATCATAGGACGCAACCCGCACACCAGCCACTTGAGTCTCCGACACTTTTACGAGTCCCTTTCGGGGGAGCATCCCACAGCTTTGCGTCTTGCTCAGCTGTGGTGTATGCGGCTGTACTTCAGTACGTGCATTCTTCGTCTGACGAAGTTCGTTGCAAGAACAAATAAAAAGGTCCTTCATAGTTCACACTTCCTCGCTCTTCGGAGAAGTCCTACGAAGAGTGTGACTCCTTGGCTACCTACATATCTGCTTGCTCCACCAGAGCCATCAGGCTGAAGTTGGGGTTCTCGTCTTCGCTTGCCATCATGCCGCGAATGACGCCCAGGCATTTCTCAGAGAGAACGTCTTCATTTGCTGTGAGCGCCCCGAGGTCTATCGGCCGCTTGCGGTCGCCGTCAAGTTGGTATAGATGGCTGTCTTGAGCTGATTTGACAAAGGCGATGTAGTGGTAGTCCACCTCGTCTTCCGCGTTGAGGGGCGATTCAGTATCTCCCTTGCTTGCTACTCCAGCATACGCCCGTTCGAGCCCATCGTTTTTCTCCAATGCCTTTGCCAGCTCGTCCGAGTTGGGTGTCAGGCTGGCATTGAGTAATTGGGCAATGATCGTGTCACTCCCTGACTGATATTAGTTGTGTTTTCGATTGGGCTGACGGCTATCATACCGATCATCCGTCGCGCCTCGCCATTACACACGGCATGCAAGATCGCATACAGACCGCATGCATTGTTGATGGTCTGCTTGAAGAAGATCACGTCACCAGCACCTCCAGGGCTTCGAAACTCCTCAAGCTCAGCGTCCTCGTCCTGAACACGCTTTTCATAATCGTCTGTCGTCGGAAACACCAGTATCAACGCAAAGGCGGGACGCGGAAGAAAGCCAAGCAATTCTATGTCGTCCAAAGAGAGCACATCCTCGAAGACCAATGAGGTGGATAAACCGAGCTTATGCGCGAGCTCGGTGAAGACGTCTGGATTTGACTCGAGAGGAATGAAGTGCTTGGTATATACTGGTACGCATGCTTGTTCTGCAGTGGCCATTATTGGTAAAGACGTGTTGATGTGATTTCCTCGCTGTCATGCCGGATGTACTTGCCACTTGGGAGTCGAAGCTGAGCA